TTTGTCACGATGGCTATCTCCAGTTAGAGCGTTGAATTCTACCAATATGCCATAATACTCTGAGGCATTACTTGTTACACAATTCACTGGTGGTTCTGATTTTGGATGTTGTTCACTCCTGGGTGTTTCTGATTTTGGATGTTGTTCAATCCTGGGTGTTTCCTCCTCTTCCTTTGAAGCATTGGGAGGTGAAACACTTTTTCTGTTCAAGCTTCTTCTATGTTTTATCTGGTCCTCGTCATAATCAGGGGCTTCCTCCTTAGGCTCAATGTCAAGAAGCTCACCAATACGTTCAAGAGTCTTTTGAACAAGCACATCAATTTCCTGCTGCTTAATATCCTCATAGTCCTTATCACTCAGCCTCCAGAGCTTTCTTTCCACAGTGTCATACACCTTCTGTACAATAAAACCAGGGTGATCCTTACGTTTTGGAAGCTGTTTGTGCCTGGGAACAAAATGCACCACACACTTATGCATTACAGACTCCGCAGGAACATCATCACGATGAAAACTATAAAATAGCTCCCTCGTATCACACGATTGCCAGTTTCCACCACCTTTTTTCTCAGCTTCTTCTGGGCGATAAAACCATTGTCCCGTTACTTTCACGTTGCCACTGTTAGACTGTGTAATGTCCTGACAGCAGAAAAACGTCTAAAATTCAAGTCCCTTGAAAGAGGATAAAAGATGCAGAAAACCCTCCCTAACAGCAATGGAACACGAACAATAAAGAGGAGTAACAATTATTTATCAGGAATAAAACAATTGAATCGACTACCCTTTTTAATGAAACAATTGAATGGACAAGGGAAACAGATAATAAAACCTTAATAATTGCAACATATGGCTTTTGGCCTTTGTCCTCGGGTACAAGAAGAACAGGATCCTCCTGCACAAACCAAAAAAACCAGAATTAGAACTATACAGTGGTCATAGAATCCCTATAATTGAAGAATCGATGAGAAAAAGGAGCTTACGAGAGTATATTGGATGCCATCGAACTCGAAGGAGTCATAGTGCCTTTTCCTGCCTCTTCCTTTTCCCGAAACCCTAACAGGCTCGCCAATAGGCTTAGCGTCCTCCAAGGGTTGAGGCGGTTCCGGTACCTCTTCTTTTTCTTCCTCTTCATTCTCGTCATCGTTATCTTCCTCCAGAAGCCTCATCCTCTTGCGCGTGGGCTGTGGGCGTGGTGCTTCGTCTTCGTCATCGCTCGTCGCCACCCGAGCCAGGCGTCGACGATTCACCATCTTCCAATTTTCAACTACAATCACCGTCTCACCTTTTCAATGTCAATTCAAAACTCGCCTTACAAAAAATGCATATTCCGCTCAAGGCGAGTCAACATGCACAATGTTATGAACACTCCTCTCACCCAACCTACGCCCTTTTTAATTATTTCTCAAATTTTAATTTCTGTACATTTTAATTATTATTAAACTTAGTTATACGTTTATCCTCTCTTTTTTTATATTATTTATTAACTTTCTTTTGCTCTTTTATTTGGGAGCTTTACTGTTATTAGATGTAGTGAAAAATAAAACACTTATTTAATATAAATTTCAATTTTTAATTATGATAGTTATAAATAAATAATATTAATGAAATATTTATGATATAATTAATAAAATATTAAGTAACACAAATTTTTATTCAAGTGTCTATTCAAAATATAATTAATTATATTGTACATACTTTAATGATATTACTGCATGATGGTTATATTTAAAATATAATTAATTATCTGTATTTGAGTGATTTTATAATATTGTTAGACAATTTATTATATTTTTCCCTTTTCATTTCACAAACAAGGAAAACAAGGGCCTTTTTCACATTTTCTTGCCTATTTTTCTTTCTTTTGTTTCGTTTGTCGGAAATCAGAAGTTAATTAATTCAAAGCAAAATGCTTTTTTTTCAAAGCAAAATTTATGAGGATTTGTTTTACAAAAACTGTTTTTATAGGTTACCTATTAAATGAATTAGTTTTCAATGGTCAAACTTCTTTATGGTTTCCAACTTTTAAAATAAATTGTTTGAGAATACCTGAGTCAATAATAAAACCATACAATTACATAAATCTTATTTTGTAAATAAAGTGTATATTTTAAAAATATATACACATATTATGTAATTATAATTTTTATTATTTTAAAAATTCTAATCATTTTATTTGTTTTTCAAAAGGTACATGTGTTTTTTATTTAAACTATTTAATTGAGTTTATATGGTTAACATTAAATACATTTATTTTCTATTTATTTTCATAAATCTTAATTACTTTTTATCAATTTAAACTGTTATATTTTACAATTTTTATTGTGTATAATTTTGACATAATATATTGTAGTGAATCAATCGCTACTTTAATTTATACTGTTAAGAACAATGCAACGAGCATTTGTTACGTAATAAAAATGTATATTAGCATTTAAGGGATGGTACTAACCAAAAATAATTAAGTTATGAATTACATGTCATAATATATACTTGAAGCAACTCCAAAATAATAAGTTAAAAACTCCTTTAATAACTATTTAAAAGTATTAACAAACATTTTTATGTTTGTGTTTAACTTGAAGAATTGTCTCTTGAGAAACTATGGCAAAGCTAAAATATTTGTTCACCAATAAAAATATTAGTATCAGTCAGATAAACTAAAACTAAGCTTTATGATCTTATAAAAAAAAGCATTTTAAAATTAATTTTATTTCATCAAGCATTAGGATTTAAAACAAAATTGTAAGTAATATTTACTTTACCATAAGTAAAAATTGCATGTAATGCTTACTTTATTAAAATCTTCATTGTGCTAATTCATTAAGTGTAAAAAATTAATTATCTCAAACGTAATTAATTGTATAACTTTCGAAGTTATATATAATTATTATGAGGACTATATAGTTTTCAAGCTTCTATATCAAAATTTAATTTTAAAACATAAATTTAAAATTTAACAAATGTCTGGTCAAATAAAAGTTTACACATATATATTCTTTTGTTGGTTGAATTTTTCATTTTATATTTTGAAAAAGAATGAACCTTTATTTAAAAAAAAATGAAAAGTACAGATGTACAAATAAAAAGTATATAAATATCCTATCAAACATTAAAATGATGAGACATTGATAAAAGATCGAGATAAGTGCTCTTCAAACAATATACTAAGATTATTTGAATTTTAAGCAATAAAATTAATTAAAATAAAAGAGTTAATTTGGTTTGGATTTTCCCATTGATTGGATGAATTTCATCTGAAAAACTATTTTATTTGTTTCTATTACTTTATACATAAAATATATGTCATTTTTGAAAATTTAATTTTGACAAAACTACATATAAGTTGGATAACTTTCTTTACAATATGAAAATTTAGAAGTGTGAAAGAGAAAGATTGACAATATGACGCAAAGAATTTTATTATGCTTCACTTTATTACAACTTTAAAGTTCAGTTCATCCAGCTAAAGAATTTTCAATATCAATAACATTTATATCAAATTCCACAACCTTTCTCAGTAAAAAAACATGATTTTACCTTCTACATATTAGCATAGATTAAATTGTGGCGTATTGATTTAGCAGATTTTAATATAATATAAAATATTAAATTAAAAAGTATACAAAATTTTTTGTAATTTCTTTTTAAATATAATATTGATTAAGTGGCTAATAACTATTAAAAATATTAAAATAAATAAAGTTAATTCTATCAATCTTATTTAGTTTTAATGTTTATTTCTTTAAATGGATGTTAAATATATAAAAAAACTAAAATAGATAATATTAGTGTTAACACTAAAATTATTTATTTTAATATTTTTGTTTATTTAAGGTAATGTTGAATTAGCAAATATGTATAAAATAAATAAAATTAATGTGAACTAAACAAAATGTTATTTTTAATATTTATATTTATTTAAAGTATGTGAAGTTATATATTTTGAATTCATACATTTTTTATGTTAAATGTGTTAAATATGGATCGTGAATTAATTTTAATTTCATAATTCATATTTAAATGTGTTAAATATGGATGCGCTGCTGCAACTCAACTGACACTAATAATTATTTAAAGTTAATTTTTTTTGTTAGCATCAACATTTGACCTGACGCTAGTGTTTTAAAGTCTCAACCAAACATGATCTCTACATGATATTACAAATTAATCAAGTATTTTTTTATTATTAAAAGTCACTCCAAGCTTTTAGAAGATAGCGAAATTGTTTCGCAAAAGCTAGCCCACGGATGAGAATATGAAACTTCAATTCAAAATACAAAATTGAAAAAGAATAAAAATAAGTTAGAAATTATCATTCATAATAGTCACGTAGTCGTCTACTATCATTTATTGAACTCTTCATTTTGCATTTTAGAAAAGTAATCACCGCAAGAAGTCTTCCACTCTTTCTAAAACTCACGGGATATGAGAACATATTTTTAATGTTATATAAAACCACATGCTAGACACTCTTTTGTAATAAGTAACGTACGATAAAATAAATAAAAAATGATTTTTTTGTGTGTTCAAAACCATGTTTTGGATCCTTAGGTCAAAAACACGTTGGCAGTTGGATTTACAAAACTTCAATGTTGGATTGTTCCCATCAAAACTTTCTAGGAGTTGGACAATTCATATGTTTAAGGTTTCGACACTATTTTGTTTTCTCATGATGGTGCGCACGCACGCACAAATTGCACACAAAAAGGAACTTAAACATAAAAGCATGTATGGAAAAAAGCTAGGTTGGCGGGTGGATATATAATATATATGTATCACAATAAACAAGTATATCAGAGAAATTTTTAGAGAAAGAAAGAAAGAGATGTATCTGACCAAACATTCCGTCAAATATAATTTAGCTCTGAAAGACAAAAAAAGCTAATGGCCATGCATGAGTTGGTGGAGGTACAATGGAAAAAGAGTGGCTGAGAGCTTAAATATGCATTCACCTTATAAGCTTTTGATCCTTTGAAATATCAAGAGTTGAACAGTGCTTCTCCTCAAACTTTTTCACTTTTCATTTGGTCATGCGCATCATCAGTGGTTTCCACGAACTCAATACGAGGTAGTTCACCAATAAGTTGTAGAGTCTTATGAATAAGCACATCAATCTCTCGCTGCTTAGTATCCCCATAAACTTTATCATCCAATCTCCAAAGTTTTTTTCCCACATTGTCATATACCTTTTGTACAATAAATCCAGGGTGATCCTTACGTTTTGGAAGTTGTTTATGTATGGGAGCAAAATGCACCACACACTTGTGCATGATAGCCTCAGCAGGAACATCATCACGATGGAAACTGTAAAATAACTCCCTTGTATCATGTAATTTCCAGTTCCCGCCACCTTTTTTCTCAGCTTCTTCAGGACGATAAAACCATTGTCCCGTCACTATCACATTACCATTACTTCCTTGTTTAATGTCCTGACAGCATAACAACGTTAAGAAAACCCCTTTGAGAAGAAAGATATCAATGCAGCATTAATATTGACAATGGGAATGATAATACTAACTGCTAACAGTGATTATTTAATAGGTAAGAAGAGAAATCAAATTGATTAATTTTGAAGATCTAAAATCACAATCAATAGTAGTTGACAAATACATAAGCGTATACCTTAATAATTGCAGCATATGGCTTTTGGCCTTTTTCCTCGGGAAAGAAAAGAACAGAATCCTCCTGTATAGAAACAAAGCAAAAGGAATTGGGAAAAGTGTTTCGTCTTGAAAACCCTAATCTGTGAACAATTAATGAGAACAAGGAGCTTACAAGAGTATATTCGACGCCATTGAACATGAAGGACTCGTAGTGACTTCTCTTGCCTTTTCCTTTTCCCGAAAACCTAATTGGTTTACCGATAGGAGTAGCATCCTCCACAGGCTGAGGCGATTCTGGAACTTCTTCTTTTTTCTGCAGTGGTTGTTCTTCGTTCTTGTTATCATTATCGTCGTCTTCCTCTTCCTCAAAAAGCCTCAATCTTTTCCGCGTTCGTCGTGGACGTGATGCTTCATCTTCATCGTCGCTCACTGCAACTCGAATAAAGCGTCGACGATTCACCATGTTCAAGTGTTGAGTGATGATTACTGTCATCAATCTAAAATCTAATGCAGACTCAATATATATACAAGTCAAGACAAATCTTGTACACACTCACGCCATGTCGATTCAACTCAAGCGTTAATTATTTTCTCTACCCAGGTCTTTTTGATATAAATAATTAATATAATTTTAAATATATATAAAAAATATTAAATATATTTTTAATCTCTAATTTCTGTTTGTAAAATTATAATTCTTTCCCAAATTTTAATATGTTTTATCTTTTAAAATAAATTAATATAATTTTTTAACTCAATTACGTTAATTTTATTTTATATGTTCTATATTTACATTTGATTTTTATACACGTTTTCGTTCAAATATCAATCTAAAATATTATTTAATATATAAAAAAATCAATATCATGTATTAAAATAATTATATTCATTTATTTTTAAAATTTGACAAGTAAAATATATCATAGTTTAAAATAAGAGTTTTAATTTCATAAGTTTAGGATTAAAAACATATTTAGTCCTAAAAACAATTTAATTGTGTAATTAATGTCATGTTAATTTTAATTTATGTAATTTTATATAACTTATATATTTACAACTGTAAAATTTATTTATTATTAAAATTTTTAATGAAATGTTGATTTGGTTATCAATGCATGTAAAATTTATATTTTATGTCTATGTAACACTAATAAACTGTATTATAAGTCATACGTAAAAAAAAACATTGAAAAGTAAAATATTTATACCATTATATAAAGATGTTTTTTTTTGTGTTTTTATTTTCATTTTTATCTCTTAAATAGTATTTTTGAAAAAATTACAAAACTCTTTAATGACACAAAATTATTTAGAATCGTGTTTGTTGTACATGTAAAAGATTTATCAAGTTGTGATAATTACTGTTAAATTAATTTTTCATTTTTATAATAGTTTTATTATGTTTCGTTCTTCGTAAGTTTTATTATTCGATACGAAGATGAGCTTTTTGGGTGTGTTGGTGGTATAGCCATGTGAAGTCTAGTTAAACAGAAAACGTTCTTTAGGTGTTGAGTTCTTTTCTATTTTATAGCTATCTTTTTTTCCATTTTTCGTGTGCAATAGGTTGTAGGCTGTCTTCTTTCACATACAAAAATATAATAAGATAATGTTTTTTTTCGTATATTGTCTAATGTTTTCGCTTCTATTGTCTAATGTTTTTCCTTTTATCGTGTAATGCTTTTCTTCTATCATCCAATGCTTTTATTATTTTTTTTATTAATATAAATTAAGATAACATCTTTAAAGCTAATTGATGTATTATTTTTTGGAATTTAAAACTCCCTTATAAAATTGAAAATCAAATCAAATCAACCAACCTATACTGCATTTCCTTTCTTCATGAACGCACACCACACCACATAACCTTATATAACTGTCACGGTGGCCCACACTGCAAGGTTTTTCAAGTGCTCAAATCTCAATTTTGACTTGGTCTCAGAGGCTGCCTTCGTTTGTAGTTTTCCGGTGACCTCTTCCCTTAATGATATTGGAGCGTGAGATACAGACTCCGATTTTTTTGCCCCTCCTTTCTTGCCCATGAACTTTGTTTATGGGAATTGCTTTGACCACCTGTTATGCACAGACAGAGACACACATATATAAGAGAAACTTAGTCTCTAATAGCTTTCTACATATTCAAATACGTTAATTCTTTCTTGAGGACACAATTTTCATTTTCAACCAAAGAGGTTTCAAGAGTTACGCAAATCTTGCTTCCTGGGGTGGGGGCAAGATCGGAAACTTAGTCTCTTCTGTTAAATCCGTACAAACGGTGTTACTTAATAAGAGAGAGAAATAACTAACGCCGTTTGTACGAATTTAACGGAAGAGATTTAATTGATGCAAATTTCCGTACAAACGGCGTTACTTAATAAGAGAGAGAAATAACTAACGCCGTTTGTACGAATTTAACGGAAGAGATTTAATTGATGCAAATTTTATTAAGTGAGGACGTAATGGACGTATTTTTTAAAAGATTGACTAATGTGACATTTTCGAGCGAAACTAAAAACAAAATAGGTATCAAGCCTATATATATTGATGTCAATTTTAAAGTTGCAAGTGTTGATAACTTGTCCAAGAGAATAATAAACCTAATCGGCTTTCAATAATAGAAGCTGCCACAATAAAGGGTCAGTGCCAATAAAGTAGGAAGATATATTGAAAAACAAAAGGTAAATCTGATNAGAAGATAGCGAAATTGTTTCGCAAAAGCTAGCCCACGGATGAGAATATGAAACTTCAATTCAAAATACAAAATTGAAAAAGAATAAAAATAAGTTAGAAATTATCATTCATAATAGTCACGTAGTCGTCTACTATCATTTATTGAACTCTTCATTTTGCATTTTAGAAAAGTAATCACCGCAAGAAGTCTTCCACTCTTTCTAAAACTCACGGGATATGAGAACATATTTTTAATGTTATATAAAACCACATGCTAGACACTCTTTTGTAATAAGTAACGTACGATAAAATAAATAAAAAATGATTTTTTTGTGTGTTCAAAACCATGTTTTGGATCCTTAGGTCAAAAACACATTGGCAGTTGGATTTACAAAACTTCAATGTTGGATTGTTCCCATCAAAACTTTCTAGGAGTTGGACAATTCATATGATTAAGGTTTCAACACTATTTTGTTTTCTCATGATGGTGCGCACGCACGCACAAATTGCACACAAAAAGGAACTTAAACATAAAAGCATGTATGGAAAAAAGCTAGGTTGGAGGGTGGATATATAATATATATCTATCACAATAAACAAGTATATCAGAGAAATTTTTAGAGAAAGAAAGAAAGAGATGTATCTGACCAAACATTCAGTCAAATATAATTTAGCTCTGAAAGACAAAAAAAGCTAATGGCCATGAATGAGTTGGTGGAGGTACAATGGAAAAAGAGTGGCTGAGAGCTTAAATATGCATTCACCTTATAAGCTTTTGATCCTTTGAAATATCAAGAGTTGAACAGTGCTTCTCCTCAAACTTTTTCACTTTTCATTTGGTCATGCGCATCATCAGTGGTTTCCACGAACTCAATACGAGGTAGTTCACCAATAAGTTGTAGAGTCTTATGAATAAGCACATCAATCTCTCGCTGCTTAGTATCCCCATAAACTTTATCATCCAATCTCCAAAGTTTTTTTCCCACATTGTCATATACCTTTTGTACAATAAATCCAGGGTGATCCTTACGTTTTGGAAGTTGTTTATGTATGGGAGCAAAATGCACCACACACTTGTGCATGATAGCCTCAGCAGGAACATCATCACGATGGAAACTGTAAAATAACTCCCTTGTATCATGTAATTTCCAGTTCCCGCCACCTTTTTTCTCAGCTTCTTCAGGACGATAAAACCATTGTCCCGTCACTATCACATTACCATTACTTCCTTGTTTAATGTCCTGACAACATAACAACGTTAAGAAAACCCCTTTGAGAAGAAAGATATCAATGCAGCATTAATATTGACAATGGGAATGATAATACTAACTGCTAACAGTGATTATTTAATAGGTAAGAAGAGAAATCAAATTGATTAATTTTGAAGATCTAAAATCACAATCAATAGTAGTTGACAAATACATAAGCGTATACCTTAATAATTGCAGCATATGGCTTTTGGCCTTTTTCCTCGGGAAAGAAAAGAACAGAATCCTCCTGTATAGAAACAAAGCAAAAGGAATTGGGAAAAGTGTTTCGTCTTGAAAACCCTAATCTGTGAACAATTAATGAGAACAAGGAGCTTACAAGAGTATATTCGACGCCATTGAACATGAAGGACTCGTAGTGACTTCTCTTGCCTTTTCCTTTTCCCGAAAACCTAATTGGTTTACCGATAGGAGTAGCATCCTCCACAGGCTGAGGCGATTCTGGAACTTCTTCTTTTTTCTGCAGTGGTTGTTCTTCGTTCTTGTTATCATTATCGTCGTCTTCCTCTTCCTCAAAAAGCCTCAATCTTTTCCGCGTTCGTCGTGGACGTGATGCTTCATCTTCATCGTCGCTCACTGCAACTCGAATAAAGCGTCGACGATTCACCATGTTCAAGTGNGCATTCACCTTATAAGCTTTTGATCCTTTGAAATATCAAGAGTTGAACAGTGCTTCTCCTCAAACTTTTTCACTTTTCATTTGGTCATGCGCATCATCAGTGGTTTCCACGAACTCAATACGAGGTAGTTCACCAATAAGTTGTAGAGTCTTATGAATAAGCACATCAATCTCTCGCTGCTTAGTATCCCCATAAACTTTATCATCCAATCTCCAAAGTTTTTTTCCCACATTGTCATATACCTTTTGTACAATAAATCCAGGGTGATCCTTACGTTTTGGAAGTTGTTTATGTATGGGAGCAAAATGCACCACACACTTGTGCATGATAGCCTCAGCAGGAACATCATCACGATGGAAACTGTAAAATAACTCCCTTGTATCATGTAATTTCCAGTTCCCGCCACCTTTTTTCTCAGCTTCTTCAGGACGATAAAACCATTGTCCCGTCACTATCACATTACCATTACTTCCTTGTTTAATGTCCTGACAACATAACAACGTTAAGAAAACCCCTTTGAGAAGAAAGATATCAATGCAGCATTAATATTGACAATGGGAATGATAATACTAACTGCTAACAGTGATTATTTAATAGGTAAGAAGAGAAATCAAATTGATTAATTTTGAAGATCTAAAATCACAATCAATAGTAGTTGACAGATACATAAGCGTATACCTTAATAATTGCAGCATATGGCTTTTGGCCTTTTTCCTCGGGAAAGAAAAGAACAGAATCCTCCTGTATAGAAACAAAGCAAAAGGAATTGGGAAAAGTGTTTCGTCTTGAAAACCCTAATCTGTGAACAATTAATGAGAACAAGGAGCTTACAAGAGTATATTCGACGCCATTGAACATGAAGGACTCGTAGTGACTTCTCTTGCCTTTTCCTTTTCCCGAAAACCTAATTGGTTTA